TTTCACTTTAGCTCCAATAAACACAACAAACTGCGTTCTTTGCATCTGACCAGTTCAAGCCAGCCAAGCTCCATCCTAGGGTGCAAACAGCCAAGACTTAAAGGGAGTTTCGGCCCACACTATTCACAGCAAATCTTCCCAATCCCATTAATGGGAAGACTCATTAGACAGGATTCCCTTGAGAGCCAGGAACAGGCCAACCTCGCTCTTATTTAATTGATTTGATAAATCCCCACATTAATTAGCTGGCTTCCCCTAGGCTGGGGGAGGGGAGCTCCCATTGTGCAGTCAAAGGACCTCAGGCAGTGCCCGGATCTCTACATCTCTCACTCGGGGAGAAAGTCTCTTGGCCATTTTATCGCCTGGAAAAGAAGAGGGAACTGCAGGCTGCTTTCTTAGTTCCTGTATGGGTCCGCTGAGTGCTGAGGTGCTGGGGTTTCTTGCTGCTGACTTTGGGCTTGGCAGAAATGGGACTTAAAGGAATGCAGTTTGGCACCTGACCTTGAGCATCAGTCAGAGAGAGGGTCATCTGTATGAAAGGCAGATGACCAAGGGAGCAGAGGAGGGGATACACAGAAGACCCAGCATTTGTCATTGAGATCAGAGGCCCTCCCAGGTCCTCCTGAAGGAGGATGGGGTACCATGCCTCTTAGGGAGGAGGAACCCTGTACTCTGGTCCGCCTGGATGGACCATCTACCACTTTAACCTGCGGTACCTCACCACAGACATTCTAAAGCATCTTGTGATGTCTTTCTTTCCCTTTCTTTTTCTTTCTTTTCTTTTTTTCCTTTTGGCGGTTCTGGGGCTTGAACTCAGGGCCTGGGCGCTGTCCCTGAGCTTCTTTTTGCTCAAGGCAAGTACTCTGCCATTAAGCCACATCCCCAGCCCCCAACACGTGGGTTAGTTTCTAACTACAATCCTCAGACCTTAGACTCCTTAGTCACTAGGGTTACTGGTATGTACACCCAGCAGTTTTAACCAGCCCTGAGCCAAACCTTAGCCAAGACCTTATCTCAACAAGCAAACTGGGCATGATGGTAGGAAGTATAGGAAGATCACAGGCCAAGCCAGTTCTTGAGATATGAAAATGTGAAAGCCTATTCAAAAAAGCAAAAAGGGGCAGGGCATCAGTGGCTCACACCTGTCATCCTAGCTACTCAGGAGGCTGAGATCTGAGGCTCCTGGTTCAAAGCCAGCCCGGGAAGGAAAAGTCCATGAGACTCTTATCTCCAATAAACCACTCAGAAAACCCAAGTGGCACTGTGGCTCAAGAGTTGAAGAGCTGGGGGACAGTGCCCAGGCCCAGAGTTCAAGCCCCACAACTGACAAAAAAAAAAGGACCTGAGGGCATGGGTGAAGTGGTGGAGGATCTGATTATCAAATGAGAGGTTCTGAATTCAAAACTCTAACACCACCAAAACGTTATTTTTTTAAAAAACTCTCCTATTTCCCTTTTTGGTCATTATGTTTTTTTCTGTTCCACTTTCATGGAGTTTTTTTTTTGTTTGTTTTTCTTCCTCAGCTTTCCAATTCTCCTATCAAAGACTTTGGCATTTATATTTCTGCTTCTTTCTCTTAAATCTCCCAGAACTTTTTTATGTTTTCTATATGCTCTCTTTTTATGGGCAGTGATTTTTTTTTTAATTTCCCTAATGATATTATTGGTAGTTGGGTTGATTTTACTTCTCTAAAACGGTCCCTTTCCTCCAAATTGCTTTTAAAAAAATCTATCATGGCTTTGTATTCCACGACACAGGCTTTCCTGAGCTGTTCGATCATCTCTGGCTGCCCACTCCTATTTGCCTGGAAAGGACTCTTAGACTGATGTGCGTGACACCATGTACCATGTAGCCTTCTCCTTAGAGTGATATGGCTGTTTATCTGGAGAATTCCAGATATCAGAATATTTCGGTGGTGTTCCCTTTGGGATTGGATTGATCCCTATACCCCTCCCCCCAGCAAACCTCTTACAGTCTCTTGGCTCCCTGGCACCCTGAAACCTATTTGTTCATGAACCTTCTAGGGGGAAGTTTTTTCCCTGCCTAACTCAGGACTTCATTTTCTCAGGTGTGCTAAGCATTTTAGTATGTGATTTCTGTCTTTCTTGCTTTCTCCATCCTTGTGGATTTCTGCCTTTTAACCAGTGTTTCAGAGGCTCCAAAAGAAAGTTAAAGTCAAAGCATGCTGTCCATCCATCACCACACAGACATCTCAGCCATCTATAAGGTTTTTTATTCTCTTCACTACCTAGATACATCTTGATCTTCTTGTTCCTGCTGTGGTTTGCTTCTGTTCTTTCCATCTGAAATTTGATGCACTAACTCTTCTATCTACATCAAATCCCAGGTAGCAAGGAAAGCAAGGACCAGTAGCAACTAGGGAGATGTTCTCTGATGAACTACAGCTGAATCTTGAAGACATTTCCATCTGGTTAGAAGCCCAAGGGTCCTATAATCCTCAAATGCCCTGGTGAGTAGATTACTGAGCAGCCAGCCAATGGGCTAAGGTTTGTTTTGTTGGAGGTATTGGGGAATTGAACTCAAAAGAGTCTTGAGTTTGCAAAGCCAAAGCTTTACCACTTGAGCTACATGTCCAGCCCCCAGGCTGAGTTCCCTAGGCTTAGTTTCCTATTCAGAATGTCACAGGCAGCCGAAACTTGGGGGAACCCTTGGACAGGAGCAGATCAGTTGCAGAGTTCCCTTGACCCAGGCGGTCACCCCCCAGAGCAGTAGCTCATGCTATAGGAACCCAAGGACTACCACTGCAATCCATTGTATGCAGACCCCTAGTGGGTTGCTATATGGTAGTAGGAAGATTGGTTCAGTGTATCTTTTTTTTTTTTTTTTTAATTTTCCCAGTCCTGGGGCTTGAACTCAGGGCCTGGACACTGTCCCTGAGTTTCTTTTTGTTCAAGGCTAGCACTCTTTTCCACTTGAGCCACAGCACCATCTCTAGCTTTTTCTGTTTATGTGGTACTAAGGAATCGAACCTGGGGCTTCATGCATGTTAGGCAAGCTCTCTACCTCTAAGCCACATTCCCAGTCTAGGTTCAGTGTTATCTTTCCTGGCAGAAGACTTCTCAGGGGCAGGGAAGAAATGTGTGGCTGGTAAGGCAGTGTAGGGCCAGCTCCTTCCTAATGAAGAAGCGACTGATTGTGGCATGTGGTAGAAACAGAGGAACATTCTGAATCATCACTTGGTCAGGACACAAGACTCTTAAATGTCATCAACACAATCTGTCTGGAAGAAAGATGATTGCTTTCTGCCAAGTAGAGAGAGACCCTTCTCCAGGTCTCGACCCAACTCAGTCAACTCTGTTGTCTCTCTTAAAGTCAGCAACTCAAATTGTTAAGAGAATTTAGTGTATCAGTTACAAATATCCAAATGTTGATGTCTAAGTTTGCAATTCAACATAACATGCAAACCTCCAAATGGCTCAGTTTCCAGCCCTTAGTAACCTGGAAGTTCAAGGCTTTTTTTTTTCTTTCTTTTTCTATTACTTAGGCTCCAAATTAATTCGAAGAGAATTTAAGCTCCTAATTCTGTAACAGCAAGAAGACTCCTCCCTTGTGGTCCACTGGGGGTACAATGCCTGAGGTGTATGTGTGTGAACTTTATTTCCTCGTTTTCATCTCCGTTGGCTTACTTGTTTCAAGATCCTGCGAACACAATACATGAACCAGAGGCTGCATGCAGACCAGGGTGACTGAATCACTGGGTCACCAGCCACAGGAATCCCCAAAGGGCAACGCTGTTTGTGTGTGTGTGTGTGTGTGTGCGTGCTAAATTCGGGTCCCAAGAAAGAAGTTCAGCATGCATCCGACTCCTTGCTGAAGGCCAGGACCCAGAAAAGAGCATGGAAGAGTGTGGTGTGTGTAGGGCACGTTGGCCAGGCCCGGACAGGGAGGCCGCCGGAGAGGCGCAGCCCAGCATTTCCTAAAGGGAGAGAGGAGGCCCAGACAGTGGATGGGTGGGGCGCTGTGGGCGGGGTCCTCGCAGCTGGTGGCTTTTGAAGCCTCCCCCGGTGGCGGTGGGAGAGGGGCAGCCTGGAGAAGTTGGCAGCCGGCCTGGGGCGGGAGGAGGTGGGGTGGGGTTGGGGGAGGAAGGGGCCCCGCGTTCCCTGCACAGTGGCGGCCCGCCGCCTCGGCACGTAGTTCACTCCTGCAGGCACATGCCACGGTCGGGCACGTCACCCGGGCGGCCAGGTTAGCCGCCAGCCCGGAGGCCGGGCCTGCTCCGGGGGTGACCCGACTTCAAGGGCAGTGTGGCCGTGCCCTAGATCCTTGGCCGCCCCAAGACAAGTCCGGGTGGGGGTGGGAAGCGCCCCCGATCGTGACCTGGGAAGCAGCCCAGTCCCAATCGTGATCTCTCTCTTCCTGCCCGGGCAGCGTCGATGCCCGGTGACCGGCACTGAAGAGAGCGTGGAGACGGCCAGCTGCCCCGGGCTCCGGGCGCCGCCACCGGGAACCCGGCAGCGGTGGGGCGCGGCGCGGCCCGAGTGAGTTCCGCCCCTGGGCGAGGCCGGCGGCCGGGCGAACGGCTGGAGCAGACACGCCTCCTCGCCCGCCCGAGCCCCTCGCGGGCGGGGCCGGAGGGACAAAAGGGTGCCCTCCCGTGCGAGCCCCCTCGGCCGCGGGGCTCCGGGCACAAAAGCGCTGGCAGGGAAAAGCCCGGCGGGGTTCCCGCTGCGGGAGCTACAGGCGACGTCTGGGGCGCGGCTACACCCCGGACCCGCCACCCTCGAACGTCGTGCGTCAGCGTGTTCCGCGCCCAGCTCCAATTTCCGCCCCGCCTCCCGCCGACCAAAAGGACACGCCTATTGGCGCGTTCAGGCCCACGGCCCCTTTGGAGGCTTGGATTGGCCTGACTGAGTACTCACGGACCAATGGTATCCGCCCGGGGGGCCCTCGACCACGCCCCCGCCGTCCTCCCAAGCACGAGCGCGCGACCGGTCAGACTCTGGTGCGCGCTCCAGGTTCCCCGCCCCCTTCGCGCGCGCTGCTCCGGGCGGCCGCTGCCGCCGCTTGTAACCTGCGCCGCCAGGATGTGGCTGGGGGCTGACGTCGGGTCCAGATGTGGCCCCGGCCACGCCCACCCCCGGGGTCGGGCCGCCCACACCGAGCCGCGGCGCGCACGGAGGCTATCCCGCCTGCCACAATGCGCGGGGGGAAGCTGAGGCCGCGACTTGACGCGATCGTCCTGAACGTCGCCACCCGACATCCTTAGGACAGGCCGGCCCCGAAGCCGCGCAGAGATCCGCCCCCCCCTTACCTCCTACTTCGTCCTCGTTTCCCTTCTTTCCGCCCCCACCCTCCCCTCCATGCGCTCACTCTCCGGTGCCCGGCCGGGCGGGCGCCTCGCGGACGCGGAGCCGCGCCGGTGACGGCAGAAGCGGCTGCGCGCCCAGCCTAGCCCAGCCCAGCCCGAGGAGAGGGCGCGCCGCGCCCCCGCCCCCCGCCCGCTCTCCGGAGGCCGTGGGTGCGGATGCGCCGCTGACGACTCGCAGCGACCAGCACTGTCGCCCTCCCGCCCGCCGGTCGGAGCCCGCAGCATGGCAGCCGCCGCCTATGTGGACCACTTCGCCGCCGAGTGCCTGGTGTCCATGTCCAGCCGCGCGGTCGTGCACGGGCCACGGGAAGGATCGGAGCCCCGGCCCGAGGGCGCGGCCGCCGCCGCCGCCGCCGCCCCCACCCTGCCCCGCGTCGAGGAGCGCCGCGACGGCAAGGACAGCGCCTCGCTCTTCGTGGTGGCGCGGATCCTAGCGGACCTCAACCAGCAAGCGCCCGCGCCCGCCCCGGCGGAACGCAGAGAAGGCGCCGCCGCCCGGAAGGCGAGGACCCCCTGCCGTCTCCCGCCGGCACCCCCCGCGCCACCCCCAATCCCGGAGCCCGCTTCCCCGGGCGGAGAAGGCGCCGCGGCGGCCGCGCCCCCCAGCCCCGCGTGGAGCGAGCCCGAGCCCGAGGCGGGGTTGGAGCCGGAGCCGGGACCTGCGGGGAGCGGCGAGCCCGGCCTCAGACAAAGGGGTCGGCGGGGCCGGAGTCGCGCCGATCTCGAGTCCCCGCAGAGAAAGCACAAGTGCCACTACGCGGGCTGCGAGAAAGTTTACGGGAAATCCTCGCACCTCAAGGCGCACCTGAGAACTCACACAGGTCAGTGGGGCAGCCCCGGCGCCCCGAGCGCGCCGGCCGGGGACTGCGCGAGCGGCCCGGCCACGCCCCCGGCGCTGCCCGCCGGGCACGGGGGTGGGAGGCCCGGACGCGGGGCAAGGTCGGGCGGTGGGCGATCGGGGCCTGGCCCCTTCCTTCCCACCCTCCACCCCGCATGGTTTTCCGAGAGGCGGTCGGCCTGGTTGCCGCCGCCGCGTGAGGCGGGTCCGGGTTTCTCGGAGTCGGCGCCCGCCGGGCGACCGCGCCCCCGCCGGGCACGCCCCCTCCCGGGCGCGCTCGGGCGGGGCCGCGGGGGTGGATGTCGTCATCCGGGCCGGGGGGGGGGGCGTACACCCCGCCCAGACTCGGGGTGGGGAGTAGAGGTGGCCAGGGCAGGTGCGCTTGGACTGGGTGGGGGGGCTGCAGGCGTCCCTCGTGGTGAGGGTAGAGGAGGGGGGGGGGACTGCCCGGGAGCCCCGACACCCGGGGGTGGCCGATCTCTCTACGCCGGGCTCCTCGCCCTCCCCTCCCCCGCCCACCGGGCGCGCGCCGCCGGGGAGGGGAGGGGAGAGGCGGGGCCGGCCCCGGCGCGCGGCGGGCGAAGTTCACGCGGGGACAGGGCTCCCCTTCAGCCACTCGGCACATTCTTCGCTCTCCTCTTCCTGTAATTTTTCCAGCGCTCTAAGGTTTAATTTGTCGTAACCAGAGCCTGCGGCGGCGCTGGCCGACGCGGGGGGCAGCCCCGGGCCCCCCCTTACACACACACACACACACACACACACACACACACACACACACTCACACCCCAGGTCCCCGCCTGCGGCTCTTTGTAGGAGCCCCCGCCCATCCGGCCGGCGGGGGCGCGCCCGGCTTGGCGGGGGCTCCTCGGGCCAGCAGCGCTTTCCAGGCCTACGAGCGGCCTTACCCAATACCCCTAGGTATCCACCGCCCTCTCCACGGGGTCCACCCCTCACCTGCCCCGGGGGTGGGGTGGGGAGGGCTGGATGGGAGCCGCCCAGGGCACCTGCCCCAGGGCTGGGCATCCCGCCCCCTCTAATCCACAGGCGCCCCCCCCCACGCCCCTCAGGGCGGCCCTGAGCTTTTGCGCGCGCGTGGTCCACGCTTCTGTGTAAGTTCCTCTCCCATCCTCCCTCCCCCGGTTTATTTTGGTTTTGTTTGGACCCAAAGATGCACACGTTTAATCGACGGCAGCTCTCCTCCCGCCTCTGGGTTTAAAAGGAATACTCCACGTCCCTTGTCACCCCCCCACCCCGGCTCGGCGCGTGGAGGAGGCAGGTTCGCGGCCCGCACGCAGGATACCGTTACCTTGTGATCGGGGAGGGGGGGGGGTGTTGGGCCTTCCCGTGGGTAACCTGCGCGCACGCTGAGTCAAAAGCAGAACCCGAAACCGAAGCCTTCCCGACCCCGGAGCCCAAGGCCCTTTTCTCGCCGAACTTGTGAAACTGCAGGTGGCCGAGGCCGGCGGTTCTGGGAATTAACTTTTCCCTCGGTGGGTGGCCGACCTCCCCCCCCCCGGGTCCCAGCCCCCCCCCCCCGCAGCCGCCGCCCGCACCACGTGGCAGGTGATGGGGTTGCGGGGGAGAGAAGGCCAGGCCGGGGAAGAGGGGAGGTTCGGCCGCCGGGTGGGTGTGACACACCGTGGAGGTGGGGCGCAGCCAGGTCCCTAACCTGGGGGACCCTCGAGCGTCCTGGGGAGGGGGGGCCCCGCGGGGCTGGGGCTGCGGCCCGCCCGGGGCGCCTGGCGGGCGGCCTGCGCTGCTGGGCGGGGAGCTCGGCGGTTGGGAAACCCTTTCCGCGGCCTGTTTGCAGGCGGCTTCCCACCCGACAGCAACCAGGGAGCCGACGGGGTGAACTGCGGGGGAGTTGGGCGCGGGGCGGGGCGGGGCCGGGCCGTCGTGGGGCGGGGCGGGCCGGGGCGATCTTCCTGATTGGTTCGCTCGCCCTCTCGGGCTCGGCTGGCCCCGAAAAAGCCTCTGCCCCTAGCCTGGAGGATTGGGGTGCTGGGGAGACTCGGAGCGCTTCTCCCGCCGTCGGGGTGCGATCCAGCCCACCCCGGGGGAAAGGAAACCCCAGGCAGGCAGAAGATGGGAGCCACGTCGAGCGCAGCCTCCAGCTCGCTCCCTGGGGCCGGGAATGCGCTCCGCCCTCCAGGTGTGCGAGGACCCGAGGGGTCCCGCCTCCCGGGCGGAGGCCGGCGGCGCGGCCTCGGGGGAGCCCGGGTGGGAAGATCGCCGACTTCTCTAGGCCCCCGGGTGCCGATCGCTACCCGGAATCCTCGCCCGGAGCTGGGAACTGCCTTCTGCGTGCCACCCGTAGGGCATCCCGCGCACCTGTCTCCCCGGGGTGTCAGGTTCTGCCCCGTGGTCCCGGGCACTTCTGGGAAGCCCAATTCCAGCTCCTGCCCGGAGGCGCAGAGCTCAAGTCACAGGCCTTCCCAAGGAGGAGGGCTTGGGGGGGGGGGGAGGAAAAGGGACAAGCCGTCAGGCTGGCCCCAGGAAATGACCCGAGACGCCCACTTCCCTACAGACCTGGCTCTGAGGTGGCTGTGGTGTGTGGTTTGTGGGCCATCGAAGTATTCTGAGGGTCCGGCTCTCGGCAGGCCTTGGTTGAGGTCATGGCCACACTTTTCTCCTCCACTAGGAACTCCTCCACCCTCCCTGAGGAACCATGGCGATGTTGTGGCATGTGTGTGTGTCCGTCTGTCCGTCTGTCTGTCTGTCTGCGAATAAATATTAAAACCACTTTAGCAAGCAAGGGAGTCAGCAGCTCTGTTTACCTCGGTGACCAGGACTGGCTCCCAGACCACTCTGCTGCCAGGTGATAGCACCCCTGACCACTGCGCCAGTATCTGGGACAAATGAGGCCCCGCGAGTGAAAACCCTTTGAGAAGTGCAGGGGTCCCCAGGCCAGGGCTGTCTCTCTGGTCTCCTTCCCCCACCCCCCCAACTCCAGGGACAGCTGCTAGCCAAGAGCAGTGTCTTAGCACTAGTGGTCCCTCCCACTTTCCTAGTAGTCATTGGGTGCCTGATTGCCCTGTCACATTTCCGTAATTGTTGGTGTTAGGGCAAATGCCCAATAAAACAATGAAATAAACATTACAGCTTAAGCCACTTGTTTGTTTAACAGGAACTTCTCAGCCCAGACTTGGGAAATACACTAAGCCTGGCATTAGGTAGTAGTAGGATCAGGTAGGTGGACATTTTGAGGGAGGGTAGGGGGGATTGCATATGGAAATTTGAGGACTTCCAGAGATTCCAGCTTTATCTTGGGAAATGGCGGGGTTTGGTGGCCCTCAGTGAAATGGTCAGATACACCATGACTACGTTCTCCCCTATTTGTTCCCACAAAGAACTGTTTTCAGCATGATGCAGTATCGTTTCCCTTAAGGTACAGGGAGCCGTATCATCTCTGTAAGCCTCCAGAGAAAGGTGGACGCACTTCTGCAGACTCTTGAGTGAGGTTGGAGAGCCTCCTGTTTATTGTGGAATCTTGTATATTTGTACTGACTGGCCCAGACTGTGATCCTCCAGTTTGTACCTTCTGGGTAACTAAGATGGCCGAGGAAGACCATTCTTGTTAGCCATTTCCTGTGATAATTTGGGCGAGGTTATTCTGACATGTTTCCTGTGGCCCTTCTTGTTCAGGTAGTCTGTGATACAGCCACCTAGGAAGGCAGCCAATCAGAAAGCAAAGCCAGGTTCCTTGATGCCCAGCACAGGTCTAGGGACACAGCCAGGCCAGCAGCTCCTACTCCTGCACTGCTTCTCACCAGGCTACCTCCTTGTGAAACCCATCCATGCAGAAGGCTGTGAGCAGAATGCTTGCAGGTGCCCTCCCTGGCTAACTATCACTACTCTGCGCCTGCGCCCCGTTTTTCCAGACCTGATTCACGTGCACGCTTGCCTGTACGTCCATGGAGACATTTAAAAAATGCATGAGTAGGCTTCCAGCAAATAGATGCCACTACAGCTTTCTGTTTGCTTCCTTTGCTTAGAGGAGACAGCTTTATTCTTTTTCATGGCTGTGCAGTGTTCCAAGGTGTGGATGGTTTTTTGGTTAGACTGTAACTTGTGTAACCTCCAGTTGTGTATTGAAAGGGCAGCCATATTGCTGGACTCAGGTGACACTGTTGTGTGTCTGACTTGGTACATGGGAGTTGGTGTTCCTGTAGGATGGAAACCTGGTAGTATGATTAGATTACATGGAGCAGTTCTTGATCCTCTCCTGTACTGAGGGAGAGACTCACTGTCTCCTCTGACTTTGTGTGTGTGTGTGTGTGTGTGTGTGTATGTGTGAGATAGAGAGAGAGAATACTAGGATTAGAGTAAGGCCTCAAGCTTGCTTGGCACGCACTCTACCACTTAAACTATACTCTCAGCCCTTTTAGCTTTAGTCATTTTGAATAGAATCTTGTGATTTTTGTATAGAATGCCCTGGACAGTAATTCTCCTGTTTATACCTTCTGGGTAGATAGGATAGCAGGCATATACCTCCTGGCCCAGCTTTATTGAGTGAGATTGGGTTTCAATAAGTTTTTGCCCAGATTGGCCTTCAACTACAATCCTTCCTCTTTCTGCCTCCTGAGTAGTTGGGATTATAGGTGTAAGCCAGCATGCCAAGAAGTACTGGAGTTTTTTTTTTTTTTTAATTTACTGTTATTATAGAGGTGATGTACCAGGGATTAGTTACACAAGTCAGGTAATGAGTACATTTCCTTTTGTAAGGTGTCTTCTTTTCCCTCTCTTTCTCCCAGTCCCTCCCTCAGTACTGAAGTTTTGAACCAAGGGTCTTGAGCTTACTAAGAAGGAGCTCTACCCCCCTGAACAATGTCCTCCATTCTACCCTCTTGACTTGTAAAAAAGCTTTTACTTTGGCACTCTGGTATTGTCTATACATTTATCTGAATTAGGGAAGGGAAGGAGACCAACAGAATGGTGAGACAAAGGACAAGGGGGAATGAATGCAACAGTGATACTCACAAG